ACAGCAGTGGCCAATCAGTGATCATTTGTAGAAATGCCTGATTGCATGAAATTTGACAAGAATTCTCAGTGTATCAAGATGTACCCAGTGAGTTTAAAGAAGACAAGTTTAACAGTGCATGAAGATAGAAATCAGAGCAGGAGGCATGGGACTGTCAAAAGGCGTGCATAGAAGGCAGGGTCCAGGTAGATGTGAAGGGAGAAAACAGACATGTAGTTGCAAGGCAAGGTCAAGGGAAGAACCTTTTAGAGCATGGCACAAGCACATTGGATTCCTTTAGCACCCACGCTGTATGTAAGTTCACTGAGTACTCTCTGATGTGAGCTACAAGCACACAGTAGGGTAAAAGGGATTAGAAAAGGCAAGGTCAGCAGAAAAGCAAGAGAAAGGTTAGAGAAGATGAGGGGCTGCGGAAACCCTCCAGCATCTTTCCTGGAACAGGTACCACAGAAACGGGCTTAAAGAATACAATCCACATATATTTAGCTGCAAAGTTTCTGGAATATTCTCAGTTTGGGTGACTGACCTGAATAGAGGGCTTTTCTAAAATAGAACTAGAAACCTGTTAAAACGACAGTGTGAATTTAATAATAGCTAACATTTAAAGTATGCTTTCTCAGTGCTAGACACCCTGCTACACTCTGCACATGCCGATGCTTTTACACACCAACCTAGCGACAAGGACACTATTTAAGATCCTATCTTTGTAACAGGAGGGAATGTATGCATAAAAGACTAATTAATATGCCCAAGGTCACACAGACATTGTGCTGTAGATACAGGATTTGGGTTAATGCAGCCTATGCGATAAATTGTGTTTATTCCTGTATCAAAGTGCTTATGACCAAACATTTCTGCATCAATAACACAACTATCCTTAGTCCTTTGGACTGAGAGTGAGGATTTGGTATTTTTGCTGTACATGAGGAAAGGTGCACTCTACTTCAAGGAGCTCATAAATATCAAAACCTTAATCGTAGCTATTTGGATGACATGAGTTCATGCTTTACAAACCAACCATGGCCTTAGTCATATTAAAAATCAAAGTTGCCAAACAAAGACTCGTTCTGGAAATCCTTGTCTGCTTCATTTAGATAACAGTGTGCAGAATGAATTGAAAGATAAAAACGCTCAGAGCATTTACCATTTCCTTTTCCTCTCTTGTTCTCTATTTTTTAAAAAAGTAAGCCCCACGATGTTATGGTGATATCATCGGCCAATTTGGTTTGAATATGCTCCACACTGGACTGTGTAGATTACCTAACTAATGACATGCACACTCCCTGCCATTGTGACACCTCTCTTCTTACAAGTGGGAATTTCAAGTGACAGACTAAAGCTGTTTGCTATCAATTTTGCAAAAACCACATCTGCCAGATAGCCAAGATTTAGTTCAGAGACCAAAATCGATTAATATTCTAATTTGTTACTTGTCATTAGCATCTTATTGTGTTATGTCAAGTCAAAAGTGATAACCTTTATGTAGCATATGCCCCAAAGGAATTTGAATTTACGGACCTATTTTATTTTGCTCATTGTTGCTTCCTATCTGAAAAAAAATCCCATTAGAAATTTCAATTACATAGGCAACAAAAACTTTGATGAATTAAAATGAAAATGTAGAACATTTACTACTAGGTATTTTTAATAGAACTGCATGCCTGTATTACAACAGCATTTTCTAAAACCTATTTACTTTTAAAATATTTTAGATATTTACTTGTTTCATCTTACAATATCAAGGACAACAGGAGCAACACAATACTGCCCAAGTTTTAGTGGATTGTTTAGTTTCTAGTCTTACGCGCAGGTTGAAAGCAAGCCTCTTCAGAGGAAAACACCACTATCCAGTCTCATTTCTAGTACCTAATAAAGGGATATAGATGGGAATGTCTTGGGGAGGAGTAAGTTAAAGCTAGCCAAGCAAAGTGAAATCCCAAACAAGGGATATCATATGTAATTTTCCAGTTGATTATTTTTCTACTGATGAACACAGAGTAGAAAAAAAAAATGTAATACCCGAGTCTTTGTGAAAAAGAAGCAGGGGACATTGTAAGATGGAAATATTCTGCCTTTTAAAAGTGAATGACATTGGTAAGAACTGAAATGAAGTTTTAACACTTGCACTATAAAATCTGTGCTTTAATTTGCTAGCATCTTAAGGCTACAAAGTCTAGGAGGGAATGTGTAGGATATAAGTTGAATTGACATTTATTCATTCATCAAATATATGTGGAGAGCCTTCTATGTACCAGTCACCATGAATGACATAACTATTCATAAAACATATATAACTTCCTGCCCTCATAGAACTTTTAGTATTTTGGAGGGATCCAGAATAACTAAAAACCAAGTTATAAGGAATACTTGTTATTGTAGACGGTGCTAAATAATATAGTGAGTAAAAGGACAAGAGGTAGGGAGAAGAGCAATGGTGACAAATGGATGAGTAGAAGGGGCTTGCAATTGTAATTACTGTGGTTGGGTTAATTCGAAATAGGAAGACGACATTGTATGAACATAAAAAGAGATGAGGAATGAGTCATGATGCTGACTGGGAGCACATTTCAATTATACAGTTATCAGGCTTGCTATGTGTCTCATACTATTTACTCTTCTAGAGGAGATGGTTGGACACGAGGCAGGAAATGTGTCTCACTGTTTCTTCCACTGTTTTCTCTGCTTTAGTATGACACATTTCTCTTACGGCAACTATTTGGATAAAATATTCGTTAAGCCAGGGTTTATAGCACTTTCAATTTTGTATCAGTCCATTAGCTGAGCAGTAGAGCAAAAAAAAAAAAAAAAAAAAAAAAAAAAAAAAGACCTGAGATCTTGGCTTTCTGACTGAAGGGCTGGAGCTACTGGACCATCTCTCCATGTCCAGCTCTTCCCTTATGGGGCTTCCTGTGGAGAATGGCCATCACCAACAACCCTGCTAGAGCATGCTTCAGAGGAACTTGAATTTGTGAATGGTATGGACAAAGCAACACATTTAAAATCTTTGAGGCATGAGAATATATTACAGATACATTTTTATAAATGTTATCTTCCATCTGGAATATTCCAATAGCTTATCTTCTCTTCTTAAAAGACACATTACTTCATTGGGCGCATCCAAGTTATCCTCAGATCCCTATAAAATATTGTGTCTTCTGCTACACAGATTCACTTCTGCTGGTCTTGTTAGGGAATACTACTGAACCAATTTTAAGGGACCAGCATCACTGGTATGACAGCCAGGGAGCGTATAATAAAAGAAATAAAAAGAAAAACCAAAACCAACCAACTAACCCCCCAGACAAACAATCAAAAAAAAAAAAAAAAACACCACCACCACCAACAAAACCCACAAAACAAAACCCAAAACCAAGTCCAAAGCAACCAATCAAACAAAAAACCCACAATAAACCACTATATGCCAATCAATACTCCTGGCCATAGGAACTGTGTTCAGGGCTTCTCCTGAACAACCGAGTTAAGTAGCATGTAAAAAAGACTAATCACCATGATGGTTTGGGATTAATTTCGGGGAGGCAAGGATAGTTCAATCTTTGTAATTGATTAAATATGATTGATCACATTAATAGGATAAAGCATAAAGCTATATGGTCATTTCAAAAGAAAAATAATTAAAAAACAATCAAATATTCTTTCAGGATAAGAAATGGTCAACCAATTAGGTATAGAAGAATTATACTTCAATATGATAATGAGCACACAAGACAGCCTCAGAGTTAATACTTAAAAATATCCCCTTTAAAATGTAGAAAGCCAGGACATCCTTACACTCTCATGTGGCTTAGTATGGCAGGTCTTAACCAGAATAATAGGGCAAGAAAAACAAATGAAAGCCATTCAAAGTGGGCAGGAAGAAAGATTTTCCTTGTATGCACATGACATGATCATATAGGGAGACCTAAAAATGCCATTACAGAACTTTTAGAAGTAATTAATGAACTCAGTAAAGCTAAATGAATACAACATTAATATCCAAAGATCAGCAATATTTATATGAACTATCTCAAAGATAAGCCAAGAAAACCATCTCATTTACAATACTAAGAATATACTCCATAGTAACCTTCATTTTTATTTTAGTTATTATTACTACTGTGCTTGTGAACATATTGTGTGTGTACATGCTCACATGTGCCACAGAGCACATGTGGAGGTCAAAGGACCTGGGGCTAGGATGTTGATGAACAAGTCAGTGAGATGGTCAAAGGATGCATACTTTGATTTGGATGGGAAAGTAAGTTCAAGAGATTTAGTGCACAACATGGGTTGTAGTCATCTTGAGTTAGATTAAGACCAATGAATGTTGGATGTTTTCAGAAAAAATGGTTCCATGTGAGGCAGTGCACATATGCTAGGAAGACTTAGTCAATTCATAGTATTTATTCAAATTACTGTATTATACACAGTAAACATATTTGTAAATATGCAAATAAAATTTTGAAAACTAAATGCTACTGATTAGATTTGTGCAATGTTTACTTTAATTAAAGCTTATCTATAGGCTTTGTGTTCCTCACTCACAAATGAAAAATTAAAAGTAGGCAAAAGTGTTTGGAATATTGACAAATTAATGAAAGAAAAACAAGTTTAAAAATATTAATGAAGCAAAGAAAATCAAACTTGTAATAGTGGAAATGTATCAGCTCTTGTAATCTTTCCTACATAACAATTCCATCGATACAAATCTAAACTCCATATGACACAACATACAGACATTATTATCTCAGAGAGACAGAAAATGAAGGACCTACCTTAAATACAACACACAAAATTTTGTTATAAACCATGCTATTATTTATAAAACACAGTTAAAGAAAAAAAACATATTCCATTTCCAAAATCACTTCATTTCTCATTGGAGTGCTACCGTATGACACCACCATGAAGAACAAACAGCGCATTGAGTCCTGCTGATGTTCCACTGATTCTAATGATTGTTCAATCTTTTCTGTTTATTCAAGTGAAAACAGGATACTCACATGGAATTTTATGCAGCTCATTCATAAACTTCTCCTTCAGCTTTGAAAAGGCATCTTCCTTTCCTTCCCCAGGACTGGCTGGCTCGGTGGCATTATGTGGGATAACAGTTGCAGCAGTGGTGACTGGCGGGGCAGCCAGGCGCTCGTGATGGCTCTCACTCACCATTTTTGCTTCAGGTGAAACTAACGGGGGAAGAAAGAGAAAGCAAACTCAGAAGGGCATGCCTGACCCCATATAACAGGTGTACCGGAGACGAACACACACTACTTGCACCACACCTGCTCACTGGGTAGAAGCCTGTCATTAGCATATTACTTTATGTTGGCTCATGAAATATTTACAGAACCACAGTGAGTGGAGAGCTCCTTCCGGGAAGGCTAAGATCAAATGTAGTTACTGAATAGCATTCTCTCCCAACAAAGTCTATGTAAGCTGTCAAACTGATTAGCTATGTATACAAGCCCCATTTTGCGGTGTAAATCTAACTTTAATGATATCTTCCCAAAGTGTGCAGGGAACAACTGTTGACAACAGCCACGTTCTACACTCTTAGCATCTTGTACTATACTAAAAGAAAAAATACAAATCATGGATAATAGTGCTGGCAATGTTGCTAAGTGATTGCATACATTCAAAATGTTAGTGACTTTTAAAGTAACTATACGTAATAGCATAACACTGAAAGCTTAGGACACCATAAACATTATACAGCAAATGTCTTGAGTCTGATATCAAGGATAAGTCCCCCCCCCATCATTTTTTGACCTTTACTGTAGGTGACACTCTAATCAATAATTTACTTGTTCTGCTAGGTGTATATTTAGATCACTGTAAATGTGGCATAATTGACTCCATATATCAAATACTGATAAAGAAACAGGGTTTGTCTGCTTAATTATTTAAATTCACCTAGCTTCAATATCTTACTGAATTATTTTATCAAATTCACTCAATCATTTTAAATGCTTCTTTAGCTTTGAAGTAGAAAATCTAATTAATTCTAAGGTTGTAAAAGAAAACATTTTGGCTTTGAATTGTGAAGACAGTAACTGTGGTCTTACTCTCCAGCTAGGTGAATTTAAAAAGACATCTGCCCTCTCAATTCTACCCTTACAAAGTGGGAAGAAATAAGCCTTGCTTTCTGTCTTACTCAGGGTGACTATTTCTATGATGAAACCATGACTAGAAGCAATCTAGGGAGGAAAGGGTTTATTTGGCTTACACTTGCACGTCACTGTTCATCATCAAAGGAAGTCAGGACAGGAACTCAAACAGGGCAGGGACCCAGAGGCAGGAAGCATTGAAGAGGCCATAAAGGAGTGCTGCTTACTGTTTTTATCCTCAGGGTTTGCTCAGCCTGCTTTCCTATAGAACCCAGGACTTCCAACCCAGAGGTGTCCCCCAGTCACAAAGAGCTAAACCCTCTCACATCAATCACTAATAGAAATTGTCCCATAGCTGGATCTTATGGAGGCATTTTCTTAATTGAGGTTCCCTCCTTTCAGATGACTCTGGCTTGTGTTAAGTTGACATAAAAACTAGCCAGGACACTTGACCCCTTATTAACTTAACACACCAATACAACATTAATTGACAACAACTTTTCCTTTTGCATTTATCCCCCAAATCTTGTAATAATAAATATCACAATATAAAACAATTAAAGCCTTAAAACTCCCACTTATTTTTTGAGACAGGGTTTCTCTGTATTGCTTTAGAGGTTGTCCTGGAACTTGCTCTGTAGATCAGGCTGGCCTCGAACTCACAGAGATTCACTTGCCTCTGCCTCCCGAGTGCTGGGATTAAAGGTGTGAGCCACAAATGCCTGGCTAAAACTCCCAGCTGTTACAAATTTGAATATTTTGATTGTTTGTTTTGTTTTGTTTTGTCTGAGACAGGGTTTCTCTGTGTGGCTTTGGAGCCTATCCTGGCACTTGCTCTGGAAACCAGGCTGGCTTCGAACTCACAGAGATCTGCCTGCCTCTGCCTCCAGAGTGCTGGGATTAAAGGCGTGCGCCACCAACGCCGGGCTAAATTTGAATATTTTAAAAGTTCAATCTCTTTAAAAATCAGTTTAAATTCTGTTTTAAAAAAAAACCCTCAAAGTCTCTTTAAAACTTCAGTCTTGACTACAGGTTCCTGTGAAATCAAAGTAAGTTAAATACTTCTTTATTCCAAAAGGGAAGAACCAGGGCATAATCACAATCTGAATAAAGTAAAATGAACTCTAACAGTGCATACAACTGAGTGTCCAATGTCTGTGATCCATTCACAATCTTCTTGACTCTAAAGGGCTTGCCACAGCACACAGTGAGTCTCAGGCTGAGGTCAGGTTTCCTGGTATCTGCAAAATTCTGGAGTCTCCTACTGCAGCTGGGCTGCACTTCTGCCAATAGTCAGACTCTCTCTTGGGCACTCTTCATGGTGTTGAGCCTCAGCTTCTTGAATGGCCGATCTGATCCTGGATCTTCAACTACTACTGAAGCTGCACCTAAAACAGTGGCAGCTTCTGGCTGCTCACAGTGCCAACCCTCAGCTGTTCTCTATGACCCCCTCATCCCTCAAAACCAGGATCATAGGAGAGATTCTTACACATGACCAAATTCTGGCCATAATGAGATGCAACCTAAGACATCTCTGGAACAGGGTTTATGAGCACTGACCCTGAGGAAACACTTCCTGAGAGATTTCACACCAATGATCCTGGTCTCTTCTTAATCACCACTAACTGGGTTTTGTGGGTGTGCTTTTGTGTGTCTTTGGGTGTGTATATTTTTGCTTTATTAGTTTGTTCATTTTGTTTGGTTTGTTTATGTGTGTGTGTGTGTGTGTGTGTGTGTGTGTGTGAGAGAGAGAGAGAGAGAGAGAGAGAGAGAGAGAAAGAGGAAGAGAGAGAGAAGGGCACAGAGTTGGATGGGTGGAGAGGTTGGTATGATCTGTGAGGAGATAAGGGAATATGGTATGAAAAAATACTTTCAATAAAAATATAATGAAACTGAGATGGGGCTCTCATACCTAAGCCATTTGCCCTACACAGACTTTTTCTGATCTGGTCTTTTCTGCTAGTCTAACATTACAGTACCAGTACAGTACTGGTGTAATTATTATTTTCTTTTGAATCTATTTACCAGGGAATGGAAAATACACGTTATCTCACTAGCAGTTAACAGATTGCTTAATTTTATATGCAAAGTCATTTAGCTTGTGAGAACAAAATTTTAGCACACTGGAATTAAAAAAAATCACTACTATTGGATAGAAACTTAAAATCTCTTCTAAAACAGAAAGATAGCCTGATCAAGTCCTTCTTTATAATACAAAACTGACAATTAAAATAACAAGGATATAAGCCAGGCATTGGTAGCACATGCCTTTAATTCCAGCATTTGGGAGGCAGAGGCAGGCAGATCTCTGTGAGTTCCAGGCTAGCCTGGTCTACAGAGCAAGTTCCAGGAAAGGATCCAAAGCAATAGGGAGAAACCCTGTCTTAAAAAAACAAGCAAACAAAGGATATATTCACTTAAAATTCTGGCGAAATATTAATAGCAAAGGTCAGCATACAAGGAACTGGATAATTGGAAGTGCAGAAGAGAAACATGCTCCAGGGACCCAAAATAACAGAACATATCAAAATCTGTGGAAGATGGAGGGTTCATCCTTATTCTAGGAATCACTGATAAAGAAGTGCTGATATACAACTTAATATGAAGACACTTATAGGAACTATAATATCAGAAATTACCTAACAGTAAATTAATTGTGGTGATTTATAAAATAATAGTATTGACCTTGTCTTAAATAGCTTGAAACTTGAAAAATAGCTAGAAACAAGGGAGTATTAGCTGAAAAATACAAGTTATGAGACATTACACAAATTGTGCCTTGTTTATAAATAAAGGACTCTCATAGAAAAGAGGTTGGAAAGATAGATTCAAAGATGCTAAATTTCTGGCAGAAATTTTACCTTCTCCCATGTCATTGGTTCTCAACTTGTGGGTCATGATGGTTTGAGGTATGCATATCAGATATCCTGCATAATAGATATTTATATGTCTGTTATATTACATATCTATTCATAACAGAAGCAAGATTACAGATTTGAAGTACCAATGAAATAATTTTATGGTTGGAGGTCACCAAAAGATGAGGAACCATATTAAAGGGCCACAGCACTAGGAAGGCTGAGAAACCCTGTCCTGGGTTTATGCTCTCAATATGGTATAAATCTGAGTTATTTTTACAAAACTCTCTTTAAAATAGTTTGTTCTTATGAAAACTGACCCTATAGTATTAGTTTAGCATCCAGTACTGGATTGAAAACACTTTCAAACACAAACTAAATCTCAGGGATAAATGGAGAAGCAAAAGTATACAAAATGGCCATTGGCTGAAATACAATGTAGACAAAACAGTGAAGTGTCATAAAGGTTAATATTTTGGGGTGTAACTTGAAGAAAATCCGACCACTGTTGTTAGGACAACCTCCATTCTCTTTATTTTCTTTTTAAAATTTAAATTAGAAACAAGCTTCTTTTACATGTCAATCCCAGTTCCCGCTCCCTCCTCTCCTCCCCTTCCTTGCAACGACTCCCTATCCCATCCCCTTTCTGCTCCCCAGGGAGGGTGAGGTCCTCCATGGGGGAATCTTCAAAGTCCATCATATCATTTGGAGCAGGGCCTAGACACCCTCCCAAGTGTGTCTAGGCTAAGAGAGTATCCCTCTATGTGGAATGGGCTCACAAAGTCCATTCTTGTACTAGGGATAAATACTGATCCACTACCAGAGGACCCATAGATTAACCAGATCTCTAAACGGACATCCTTATTTAGGGAGTCTGGAACAGTCCTATGCTGATTTCCCAGCAATCAGCCTGGGGTCCAGGAGCAACCCCTTGTTCAGGTCAGCTATTTCTGTGGGTTTCTCCACCCTGGTCTTGATCCCTTTGCTCATCACTCCTCCCTCTCTGCAACTGGATTCCAGGAGTTCAGCTCAGTGTTTAGCTGTGCGTGTCTGCTTCTGCGTCCATCAGCTACTGGAAGAAGGCTCTAGGAATGGCACATAAGGTAGTCATCAATCTCATTATCAGAGAAGGGCTTTTAAGGTAGCCTCTCGGCTATTGCTTAGATTGTTAGTTGGGATCAACCTTGTAGATCTATGGACATTTCCCTAGTGCCAGATTTCTCTTTAAACCTATAATGGATATTTATTATTTTAAGACCTCAATTATGTCTATCTTTATATGTAAAACTCGGTATAGCTTTCTCAGATAATATAGTGAGCTATTTTTATATTACTGTATAAACATAATGATTTCTACATAAATCACTATTTCCATATCTATTTCCATATTGTATTTTGTAATCAAAGAATACAAAATTCAAGTTCAAAGAAAAGGACAAGGAATTATCAAAAAAGATTTCCAAGGAAAGTATTTGAATAATAAGATCCAAAAACTATGTTATTTTTGGACTGATCATTAAAAAGAGTCCAGGAGAAATGAGAAAACAGGCTGTTCTGTATTAGAGGAGGAGAACAAAATTTAGGGAATTTACTTCATCAGTGTCTTCCATGTGTCATATGAAGCAGTATGAAGCCAATGTAGGTGCCCAAGCATCCATCTTGGCCCTATCTCAATACCCAGTTCCAGTAAGGAATCACACACTTTATATTATGTTGAGAGAGTATCAGATGCTGACAGACAGACAAAGACTTCCCCCATTGAATTGGACCTGGCCAAGGAACTGGCCTGTCACTCTGCTTTCCCTAAAGACAGCTATAATCCTGTCACAAGCAGAAGCTGATACACAAAACCGTCTCTTGCCTCAGCCTTTGCCCGCTGTAATGCATTTCAGTTCTTCCTTTAGAACTTCATATAGAAATCATTCTTTACTGAATTGTGTCAAACCCAGTTAAGGTTCCCAGGGAATATGATCATGCTTGCTCTGAAAGAATTTGGAAAAATAATGAACTACTGTCAACATTTTCACTTAAATTCTTCCCTTGCCCGAGGACTCTTAAGCAGTAAGTGAAGCCTAGCAGCATATCAAACTCTCCCACAAGTTTGCAGGTGTTTGAATGTCAGCCTCAAGGTGCATCTTCTCTGCAATTCAGATGAATACATTTTCTTGGGAGATGTAAGAGGGAAGCAGAGTACAGGACTCTGTTACGGTGGGTAGGAGCTGGTTTCTGGTGGCAGATACAATAAATGGGTTAGATTAAAAGGTGGGAGAAGTGTTGGAAAAGACTGTAAAGAGTTTCCACACAACAAAAAAAGGAAATTAAAGTCCTATGTCAAAAAGTGTCATTTCTAGGTTTACTGACAAGCTGCCCCAATGTGTCTAAAACACCAATATTTGCTTTCCTTTCCCTCTTTTTTTTTTAACCTTAACTTTGCTTTCTGCAAAGTCAGAGGACAACTTGTGGTGTTTGATTCTTTATATTTATCATGTGAGCCTCAGCGATTGAACTCAGGATTTCAGGTTTGGAAGCAAGCACCTTTAACCCACTGAGCCATCTTTTAAAATTATTTTTAATTGAAAACAGGTATTTTCATATAATATATTCTGACTGCAGTATTACACTTTCCCCTCCCAATGTCCTCCCAGATCCTTTACACTTTCCCACCCACCCAAAGCCCCTCTTTCTTTTTCTCCCTCATTAGAATACAAACATGCATCTACAATAATAATTATGAATGAATAGTGTAGTCAGGCCAGTTAAAACTCATATCTAAGCATGTAAGTCATGAAATTCTCTGAAGTACCCAGAGCATACACACAAGAAAGAACACACATGTGCTTTGCTAAGCCAGGATTCCAACACAGATGTCTCATCCAGAGCTGCTACAATGATGGCTGTCCCCTCCCACAACGCCAGTTGCATGGTTTGATTCTTTCGGATCTCTTGGAGTTTCAGTACAAACGATCCTCAAAGGGTCACACCACACTTACAGTTCTTATCTGCACCACGGGACCCAGAAAGAAAGAACAAGAAATAACACCAAATATGTGGGTTCCCTAGGCTTGCTTGTTTCCGGAGTAATTTATATGCAAACCCGGGCAAATTTTGTTACTAAAGTCATACCACAACTGTTGTATGTGGTAGACAATATTACGTGATGTGAGGCTCCTATTCCATAGTTTAGAAAGAATACTGAGTGATATGATAGACTGAATACTCTACAGAAAACATTCTTTTACCATATACAATTTCATACTTTTGTGTGTCTGAAGTGGGAGTCTTCTTAGATTTTATGGCATCTCACTTTCACTCTCTGCCAGGATAAACTGCTGCTTGCCTGGATATGCTCACGGTGGTTATTCTCAACAATGATCCATGCTATGAATTGTTTTGGTGGAACCGAAGCAAAGGTAATGAATTCTGTTTGCTGTCTGAAGCCTGGGTCAGCATGTACCAGAAACACTAGCAGAATGATAGTCAAGTAGTTTGCAACATGTTGGAGGCACCATTAACTGAAATGCTCTATTCTAGCACCCTTTTTTTTGTTAAATATATTTTTATTTTACAGTAATTGTAGACTTATCAGAAATTATAAAAATAGCACAAAAATCCCACAAATGCTATATTGTTTCTCCTAGTTGTAAGATATCCTACAACTGTATAACTTCAAAACCAACATTATGACAATGGTATAACATTCATGGCCACTAGATTTTACACAAATTACTGTCTGTGTACACAAATTTATAAAAAATATTAGCATGGGAATAGTTTTATATACTAAACACTAAAAGCAAGATACAAAAAACTATTTTATCAGCCTAAATGAACTCTTATTCCATAATGTTATAGTAATATATATTCTATGGTCTATGCAGTCCCAAACCCCAGAAGTCATTAATCTGTTATTCCCTCTCCATAGTTATGACATTTCAACAATACTATAGAAATTCACCTGTATAGCAAGTAAACTTTTGAGATTACCTTTTTTTTCCATTTGCTATAATATATCCCAAGGCTCATCTAAGTTGTATATCTTAGTAGTCAGTTCCTTTTCACAACAGAGTCATATTCTATGGTAAGAATGGTTTGTTTAACTACTTACAAATTGCAGAATATCTGGGCTGTTTTTCATTTGAGGCTATGTCAAATAAAGCTGCTACGAAATTTTTTGTAAAAGTGTTTGTGCCCAGGCAATGCAACAGCTTGGTCATATGTAAAGTGTACATTTAACTCTTAAAAATATTTCCAAATTCTTCTACAGAGTATTTTACATCCTTGTCATTGTGTATGAGAAATACAGTTTACATCCTTAACAGTATTTGGTATTTTCACTATTATCTCTCTAGCAATCCTATTAAGTATATGTCATACCATACTCTGGTTTTAATTTGCATTCCTAATGACTTATGAAGTTCAACATATTTTTATAACATCCACTGCCATCTATGTTTCCTCTTTGGTGAAAATGTCTACTTCTTTTCATTTCCTCCTCGGATTGCTTATTTTTGAGTTTTGATCATACTTGATTTTTCCATATTTATCAGATATCAGATACTACAAGGGTTGCAAGTAATTTTCTATCTTCTTATTCTCTTTCTCTTTTTTTCTTTCTTTACAAAATAGTTTTAACTTTGCTGAAGTCCAATATATTTACTTTTGTTTTCTTCTTGACTGTTTTCGTGGCCTGAAGTTTAAAGACTTGTCTCCTGAAGATTTTTCTTATATGATATTTTTCTAAAAGGTTTTCTGCCTTACATTAAATCCATGAAATATTTTTGAGGTACCGTTAGAATTAATTTTGTTGGCCTGTATAAGTCCAATTTACCAAGTGAATGCCCTTTCTTCCTTGTACTTTTGTGCTTTGTCAAAATTAGTGAGCCATGTAATTGTGGGTTTATTTCTGGATTTCTTCTGTTCCTTTGATTTATATGTCTAGTCTTCTGCGAATATCATAGTATCTTCATTACTGGAGCTTTATAAGAAGTCTTGAAGTTATATAATACGAGTCCTCCAATTTTATCTTTTTCACAATGAATTTAGTTTATAAATTGTATGCCAACTATTTTCATCTGCCTGTTTTTGTCCTGCTTTATTCTAGGGAAGACAGCTCCTCCATAAGGCCTTCCTTTTCTTGTTCCAACTCCTGCAAATGCTGCTGGTTTTGCTCTAGTCTGTTCTCCAACCATTGCAGAAGAGGTCCACAGATGGCAGACATTTGACTGCATAAATGCTTGGTGAATACCGAGCCATTATGGATCTTGGTTAAGGAGTCCAGATGTGTAAGTTTGTGAATCCTCCTATAAGCATCTTGTTCCTCCTGACACAGGATCCTCGGCAGCTCTACTGCTGATGTGAGGCATACTTTCCCAATGGTGGTATGAGGTACGATATGAATTGGGATTTCAATTCTCTCATATTCTGAGCTCTTTGGGTCTTGTATAGCTTGGAAGCATGTGTAGAGTACCCGACCGGTTTTTGTGGTTTTGTCTTCTATGAAACAAGCAAAAATCAGTCCTACGAAGCCTTGATCCATCATCTGGTACATGGCTTGTGTACGGACATCGACATGGGAAGGCCAAACGGTGATATGAGGGTGGGAATGATACCAGCCAACAATTCTCAGGGGACGGCCTGTTTGTTCAGCTGACCTTTCTGCCTCGATTGAGGCTGCAGACAGTTGCTCTGGAGAAATTTCGACTCGGTCCTTTGTCTTGTCAGAACGTTGCAAGATAATGACGGAATGGATGTGAACAATTCTGGTGGTATCCATCGTTTCCGCAACTGCGCGCCCCTCAGTTCCGGCGAATGTAAATTTGGAGTCACTCCTCGCATCACCATGCAACTCCCCTATACACAGACCCATCACCTCCTCTTTCTCTGTGCTCAGGGCGTGGTTGAGACAAACCAGGAAAGCGTCAGACGCAAGATGAACCGCCTGCACCTTCTGAATCATCCGCACCGCCATCTTGCTCTGCTCAGAGGCAGCCTTCCCAGTGAGCCTTGCGGGACTCCACAGGGGTGGAGCCTGGGGCACAGGGGAGGGGCCACATCCCACAGGGGCGGGGCCTAGGTGTAGGGGTGGAGCCTGGGGCACAGGGGAGGGGACAGAATAGAGGCGGGGCAGAGGGGAAAGGGTGTAGCCTGCCTGCCTAGCAGCACATGGAAAATGCTGTGTTTTTTTTTTTTTTTCCTTTTACTGTGTTTACAAGATTGCCACAAAGTTAAAAAAAAATGTCTAAGGAAATCTGAGATCTTTTGATAAACAAAATTCAATGCTATGAATTTATATTGGCATAATCTATTTTACAATCATTTCTGGTAAAGGAATAAAAATTGATAGTGAATTTTATAACTAATGGTTTCTTATAGTCAAACCATGAGTTGAAAAATGAACATCATTTATCAATATTATAAGGTGAGAAGCTTCATAAAACTTTGAACAAGCTTAGTACCTCATTCTCTCGATTATGTTTAGTAATTTTAAACAGCATAAATTTTATAGGAATTAGTTAAAATAAAAATTCTGTTCAAATTGCTACATTAGTTTTTTTCTCAGATCAATATAGTAGGGGATGAAATAATAAACCAAGTACCGAAGTCAAAATCAAAGCATTCAACTAGTACAATAATAACAAAAAGTCAAGAAATCTTTTATAAACCTGAAAACTCCCCTAGACTAAGGACACAAATCTCTGAAAACATAGGACATCAGAGCTGTTTCCAAAAACATTGATAATGAATTCATAAAATTAACATTGCTAATTTTGCATTCATTTCTATTTTAAGAAAATATTTTATTACTGAAGCTTCAAAAAACCACACTTGTTTTAAATTGCTAGTCCATACTAGAGAACATTTGTGCTTTTAATGGGTCTCCCTAGATTTCAGCTACAAAGACAAGGTTGTGGTTAAAAAGGAAAAACAGAATAGCTTTCAAATGTATTGGAGAGACTTCAAGCACATTGTATAGTGTCATAAAAATGGTAAAGTCCTAGATTTCCCCTTTCTTCCTCCCACCCTCACTTTCTCCCTCCCTTCCTTCTTCCCTTCCTTATATTTGATAGGAAAGATGGCTATGAAAACCCAGAGGGAAATAAAAACAATATAGATTCGATGGTTTCTAAATTTGTGTTTACCTCATTGTTGGTGATAGCCATGTTTTTATTTTATCTTTGCTGCTGTTCACTATATCTTTGGAGTTGACATCTTCCATTGATCAATTTTATGTGCTCCGAAGGACAATATTAGTTGAAGCTACTCTCTCACTTTTGTATAGTAATATAAAATTAGATGCTTTGGCAGTCTTTGAAGAAACACAGGTTAGTTGGTTGAAGCCAATTGGATCTCAAAATGCTTTCTATAGAAACTGCAGATAAGTCATTTGGAATTCCCATTCTCCCTTGCTTTGTTGAAGCTCGGCTCTGAACTCTCACTGTTTCTGAACTGCAGGCACTTGAGAGGAAATCTAAGCTCGTAGCACAAAGCCCTCTTTTATCAAACTGCTAAAACTGTCATTGTTTTGTCACACAGTGAAGCAAAGCTTCAAAATCGATCCACAGCTCCAATTGTGGTAAACTCAATAGTTGGGAAAATGCTCCAGTCTTCCAGCTAGAAATAGTATGTTAATAAACAAAGGTCTACAATACTCACTAAAATGTAATATCCAGGTATTTAAAAAGTATTTTTGGCATATAAGTGCACCTGATATTTACAAATAAAATTTATAAATCAGGGAATGTTATCATTTGCATGTTAAAGAGGAAAAGTTCTGCCAAAGATTGCACAGCTGGTGAGTGGCAGAGCTAAGGTTTTCAATGAACAAGGCTGGTTTCATAGTCCATGAAATTTTCTTACTAGTGAGGAAATAAATGTTGAGTAAATAAATTATATGCCTGCAATGTGTTCAATATGATAGAAAGTGTTCTGACTAATCCTCACCTTGTTTTAAATGAAGAGAAATATAACAAATATCTGTTGAGAAAGAAAAGCGCAGAGTTGGAGTTATTGGCTAGAGAAATTATTGTGGGAGACTGTATTGAGAAAAACACATTACACAGAAAATTACTGAGAGGGCCACAAAGAAATTTCGAGTTTAGCATTGTTTATGTCAGTATTCTAAACATCTCAGCTATGAAGTATGAAAGGTATCAATTTTGCTTCCTTCTCAAATTCTACCTCCTTCTATTATGTCAGTGCATATTTGTAAACATAAAACATAAACAAACATTATCCACAATCTACAGAATAGCCCATCCTTTCCCTACAATTTAAAACAAACCCATTGTTTTGTTGTTGTTTATGGACAGATGTGGTTGCAGGGAGATAACCTCCTCACATTTCATAGGGAAATCTTAATTCATGTGTCAGTCACCATAACCTGGTTCATTTTTGCCCATGGTTGCTCTGAGATACAATTTGAGTATGCTGTAATATAAGAAGACATATTCTGGGTTCCTTTTGAGAACTTTTTCTAACTTTAGGCATGAAGATAGTGACAGAAATCAACACCTCTCTGCTGGTTGGTACTGTGATTGCTCTGGGACCTGGAACTGTTGTGCACATGAGAGAAGCTAGCGAAGAAAAATTGATACTTTATGGATGCCAGAGTTGAAGGTTGGCAGTGATGTTGAGTTGTGTCACTAACCATCTCTCACCTTGGGACTTGCAAAAGAAGGCAATACACTTCCCGAAGGCTCAGTCCAGTTTATGTGCCACTGTCTGTTGCTTGCATCCAGGAGTTAGTATGTATAAACACAGTATGAGCTGACCCCCACAATCACAATCCAAACAGCTACTTTTTTATAGGCTTATTTTATGCTATGTTTTGGTAATTTGATTTCTTCCCGATGCTCTTTACTTGTGTATGCCTCTGATCCTTAGCTTCAGAGTCTCAACAGGTTTGTGAGATACTCACCCCATTTTTTTTTAGAGACTGTTCTATACATTGAGTTTATAATTTATGGTAAGGTGTAATGTCCTGCAATCTGCCCATATGCTAGGTAGGTAAGAACTGAGTTGATAGGAAATATAAAATAAAATTGGTTTGTGACTAGTTTCCTTTCATTTAAATGCTGAAAAGGGTTTAGAGAAAGATCCATTTTGTTACATAATATTAAACTTCAATGGTCTCCCTTTTAACATGCTCATCACCAATGAAAATGTATAACATGATACTCACAGCTAAACAATGAACTGAACTGGAATCCAGTTGCAGAGAAGGAGGAGTGATGAGCAAAGCGGTCAAGACCAGGCTGGTGAAACCCACAGAAACAGCTGACCTGAACAAAGGATAGCTCTTTGCCCCCAGACTGATCACTGGGAAACCAGCATGGAACTGATCCAGACCCCATGAATGTGGGTGCCATTGAGGAGGCCTGGGAAATCTGTGGGGCCCCTTGTAGTAGATCAGTACTTATCCCTAGCATAGGAATGGATGTTGGGAGCCCATTTCACATAGAGGGATACTCCCTCAGCTTAGACACACAGGGGAGAGGGCCTAGGTCCTATCCCAAAGAATATGACAGACTCTGAAGATTCCCCCATGGAAGGCCTCACTCTCCCTGGGGAGCAGAAATGGTATGGAATAGGTAGGGTGTTAGTGGGGGGCAGGGGAGGAGGGGAGGGAGAGGGAACTGGTATTGACATGTAAAACAATCTTGTTCCTAATTTAAATAAAAATATGGAAAAAAGAAAATGTATAACATGGCAATGTACAGCTGTACTTTACTAGGAACAACTTAGAAGCAAATCAGAGAGTTATACTGAGAAAAACATTGTAACATCATATATATATATATATATATGTATATATATATATATATATATGACTACTAGGGGTTTGAATTTGCTGATATGTGCATATTAGCTGTTACGTAGATGACAACAAAATTATAATCTTTAGAAACACAGAGGTTAAGGATAAGGTATGAGACAAGTAGGATAAATAGTTATAGATGGATGCAGGGTGACTTGAACATGAGGATCAAATAAGGAGGGCAGGGGAGGAGAGGGGAGTTGGGCACAAGGGTAGATGTGTGGGGACAAATAGCTAAAATTAATGGCCAACTGAGAGGCTGTATAGAAACCTAATACAGTAAAAGCTTCCTAAAATATATCTATATATGAAGTTGATCTCAACAAATTTGCCAAATAATAGGGGAGACAGACCCCAAACTGGACATCTCTTATGACCAAATGAAGTTCCAAGTACTGGGATTGGGTTATATCTAATTGAGTTTTTGGCCAAAGGGATCCCATGGGAAGTCCCAAACAATCCAGGCTGTTGCCAAGATTATAGGTTATTCTCCACAAATAGATAGCAAGGACCCATTGCTAAAGAAAACATCTACACAACTCATGGAACATGGAGAAGTAAAGTTGGTGTCTATATAGAGCCTTTGCTATTATATGCTAGTGTCTTTGCTATAGGAAGATACTCTGCACACTACCAAAGGAGAAACTTTAATACCAACCCAGGCACAATGCCTTTGATCTACTATGGTGGCCTGCCTGCAAAATATGCTAGGGTGATAGTGGCTCAAAACTTGTGGGAATAACCAACCAATATGTGATTTGACTTAAGGCCCATTCCCAGAGATGAAACTCACATCCCAGTGCTTGGGTGACCTGAGACTAGATAGTCCAGAGATGTAGGGTAAAATAAAATACTACTGTTATAAACTTAGAAAAAAATATAGCAATAAAATGGCTCCTAACGACATTCTACTGTACTCATAGATCAGTGCCTTGATCTGCCATCATCGGAGAAGCTTCATCCTGTAGCATATGGGAACAAACACAGAGGTCCACAGCCAGAATTATGCAGAGAGTGAGACACCCTGGAACACTCAGCCCTAACACGTGATGTCTCCATCATATCTCATTCCCTTCAGCATCAAAGGGACCCTGCAGAAGAGGAGGTGGAAAGATTGTTAGAGCCAGAGTGTATGGAGGACAACAAGAAAA